ATTTTTAGATTGACATCAACCATGACTACCATCAGTTGTAGTTGATGACCAAAAAGAACATGAAGTGGATAGTATTTTGGAGCATCGCTACTTTGGCCATGGCAATTGACATCCACAAGTTTTGTACAAAGTTTTTTAAAAAGATTATCCCATTCATAATGCAAAGTAGAAACCTGCACAAAATCTCACCCATTACCAAAAGATAATTTGGAGATACCATCAAAAGCAAAATGAGGACGTTGTCATGTTATGGTTCGGCTATTATATGAAAATAATGTAATTATGTACTTAATATATAATTTACTAAGTAACATAATGAGAGCTATGTTATTAGATTTTAGTTGGTTGAAGAATATAATTTGATTATTACTTTGAGAAGAGGTTGTTTAAAAATATTACTACAAAATTTTTATAACTTTAATTTCTTTTTGATAGTAGCTTTTAAGATTGGTTTTGGTTGATAGTAACTTCTAAATATTTAGAGTCACTTGTTAGACATTTGTTAGACATTAAAAACTTATTTTGGTTCTTTTATTTGGTGTTTAGAGCATAAATTATAATGAAAAGGATTGAAGAAGGGTTTTGGTAGCAAAGGGAGTAATTAAGGCACCAATATAGATGAATGGAGATGGATGATGAAAATCTCCATTCCTATTGGTCAAAAATCATAACCAATGGGCATTAAGGAGGCTGCCCAAGGCCATATTAGGGATTAGGGTTATTTTTTTTGGAGCCATTCGAGCTTTGAAGGCTAGAATCAGCAAGTTTAGGTTATAGGCTATGGTTTTGGTACAAATCTTGTATAATTTGGACTTTATATGAAGGAGATATAGGCTCTCAAAGTTAAGGTATAGATTTGAGAGCTACTTTCACTCTTTTTGGCATAACGCACACGTACTAAGGGCAATTGACGATCGGCAACTGCGACTAAAGAGAGAACTTTTGTGATTATACTTTTTGCATATTGCTTACTGGATTCTAAGTTGGAATGAAGGAGTTATTGGATTTTGAAGTCAATGCATGCAATCTAAGGGTAGTAAGTGACCCGATTTACTGGTGGTTGTGTCTTGAGTTATATCTTGAGCAATTTGATAAGGTTTTGGCTCAAAATTTCAGAAAATGTTTAAATTCATGTTAATAAACTATATACATAAGTTTGATGACATTTGAGTATTGGATTCTTGATATATTAAGAAAATAGTGCTCAGGTGCTTGTAAATTAGGGTTTAGAGCATCTACTAGGATTTCTTAGATGCCAGAAGATCGTAAGTGAATTTGCTATTGATTTTTTTTGTGGTAAAAGTTAAGGGTGAATTCTACCTATCTTATAAATTTGAAATAAACTAAACTGCTAGATCAAGAGTTATGAATTTCTAAAGTTCAAAACAAGAAAATCCTTCATGGAAAAAATATGTTTTCAAGGGATTTTGTTATATTTTGAGTTTTATGAAAATCAAAGGAGGTTTGGAAGCTAAGACAAGATTCATATAAAATTTTAAGCTAAACTCTCTATAGCTAGATACTTAGTATATTCCCAGATAGCAAATCACACCATATAACAATGTTCAGCATTAGTAGAGGGAGATTAAATGTAACAGAGTATAGATAAGATATTTGTATAGGAATAGATAGCTAGAACCATAGAAGTTTCTAGAATTGGAGTTAGATTAGTGGACCAAGTAAGACCTATTGTAGAACATTCAAGAAAGAATTTAGGATATTTATTTAGATAGAATCTACTATAGAACCTTCTAAAAAAGGCTTAAAGCAGTTATCTAGATAGGATCTATCATAGAATCTTCTAGAAGAAGTTTAAGGCAGTTATTAAAGTGGGGTCCATTACTTAGGATTATTCTAGAAAGTCCAAGGTGGTAGAACAAAGTATAAATAGGATTGACTAAGGCCTTTTGAGGCATCTAGTCAGGTATGGTTTTAGATCCTTTTTTTTAATACAATTGGATTTTGTATCTTCCTATTTTGTTCTATTTTGTCTTAATTCCAGTTGGTCAATTTATCTTCAGTGTCTCATTCTATTTAGTTCTATTTAATTTTGTTCTTGTTCAATTTGTCTTCAGTGTCTCATTCTATTTAGTTCTTTTTAGTTCTATTTAGTTTTGTTCTTATTGAATTTGTCTTCAGTGTCTCATTCTATTTAGTTCTATTTAGTTTTGTTCTTGTTCAGTTTGTCCTACCTTGTGATGAAGTTTTATGTTGCTATAGATTAGAAGGATCTTGGACACTTGAGATAAACTGATATTGTTTCATCTATTCTATTATAATAACACAAGAGCTTATTAACTCTTTGGTTTTTTATAATTTATATCTTTAACTTGAATAATCTTCTTATTGGTTTCACTAATAAAATCATTTTTTTTATTTTTTTTATTTTAAAATAGTGTTAAAAAATATTCAACTAGCTTTAGAATCTTGTAGGGCTTTCAAATCTTATTTGAATTCTTCATAATGGCCTTCTAAGGTGCTAAATTCATTTTTACCAAAATCTTAAGAATATACTTTAATTTTTTTTAAATATTTTAAATAATTTTAAAATAAACTAATAAAATATCTATTATATTTTTATAATATTAATTCAATTTAAGGCTATTTTTTCCTATTTTTATTATTTTTAGAATAATATAATTAATTTAAAATAATTTTTTATATAAATAATAAAAAACATAAAATTCTTTTTTAAGCTTTTTTATCTACTAAATAAGTAATATATATAATTTAAAGACCGATTTAGATAGTGATATCAATAAATAAACATTAATTTTTATAATAAAAATAAAATATTTAATTAATTAAGATAATTATTTTAAAGACTTATTAAGACTTATTGTGATATTTTCTTTAATAAGGTTCTTCTAATCTTTTTAAATTCCAATAAATATTTAAATAATCAAATAGATTCTTTAATCTTAATATTTATATATTTATATAACTTAAAATTACATCTTTAATAATTTTACTAATTAAGATCAATTAATAGAATTCACAACGATGTATATTGCTAAAATAAATGCTTAATAATATGAATACAAAATGAACTCACTACCTAACCAATGAAGATTTAAGAGAATTAACCACATAAAGTGAGCCTTGGCTTTAGACTCTTATAACACAAGTTTGTAATTTAATGACAATGACTTTTTAATGCAAATACACTAACAATAGCTTAGCACTAAGGTCCATTTGACTTAGGTATAATTTTTTTGTTAGACCATTTGTGACTATATAGTAGTACCACCAACTTATGGTAATTATAAGTTACTAATTGATGGTAATTAGGTATCAATTATCCACATATTAGACAAATATACAATATCTAATAGGAGTTATATATATATAGCTAAACAATCTTTTAGTCATTATAAATATATAATATTTTATTTCATATTTTTAAATAAATTAAAAATAAAATAAATTAAAATATTTGAGATTATAAAACCATTTAAAGCATTAATTTTTAAAAGTTATTTGGATCCATGTATTATTTTTGTAAGTAAACATGATAAGTGTTTTAAAGCATATTTCAATTATTTCTGTCTTAGTTTATAAATACTTATAAATTAATGAGTGGCATTATTAAAGCTGATTTTTTCCTAAAACTCAAACACAAATTTAATTATATGAGGACAATATCAAGCTCTGCTTGACTTGATTCAGGCATTGTTGTTTCAAATTTCAAGTATGTTTCTTTTGCATAAAAATATTGTATTTATTTGCATGTTGCTTATTTTTTGAATCTATCATATGTTTGATATTAAATCAAATTACATGTTTGTATTATACTTTGATGATAAACAATAAAGAATATACTGGATGTTGAGTGTGGTGAAGTAACAAATAAAAATCAAACAAAATGAGTTTTATAAAATTTGTATTATTAATTAAAAAACATTAAAATAAATTTCTAAATTTCATAACTATGTCATTAAAAATACTGGTAATAAATAGTTGTGTTTAATACTTGTTACAATGCATGATGTTTTATCTATTTATTATGTCTTTTACCTTATTTTACCTTGTTTTATACTTTACTATTCCCATGTACACATGTACAGAAGATTTTGTAAACCATTCAAAATGCACAGTAATTATCCACGTGATTCGTTTGTCAAAAATTAAAAATCTAACACAGGAATTAATATTCGTTTATCAATCCAAATAATAATATGTAAATGAAAGCTGTACCGAAAATTCAAACATAATTGTACAAGTCATACTTACTTGCTATATACAGTTAATTATAAATAGAGGGAGAAATTTTAAAAAATATAATTCTTTCAGTGGAAGCACGTCGTAGATATTCGAGTAACTACAATCCTTAGTTGAGGATTTTATACTATCCTCTTTGAAATGGTTCATGGCAAACTGACCACAACACAAAAAACAAAAAAAACAAAATGGAGAAAATAAAATGATTCCACAAGTTCAAACAGATGAGCTTCAGTCTTTCTCAGTGCTCCTCCCCTCAAAAACCACATGATTCTCGTGACAATTCACATCTAAAATCTATATGACTTGCTCTAATTTCTTCCAACAACAAACAAAAAATTACATCCCATGTTTTCAGATGTTATTAAGCACGGAAGAATCTTTCTTAAGAAACTAAACATCATCAAAATCGATGAATGAAATGAGCATCAAGAATGGAAATGTAGCTCATTCAGGAGTGTGCGTTTCTTAGTTGCAAGTTCAGCTCCTCGTGGAGTTGAAGTAAATGCTGCTCTGCCCATATCACAAGATAAGCGTAGAATACACCATAAGACGCCATGATGCTTGCGACGTCGTGACCCAACACACCCCCGCCTCATCATTCACCCGCCCTGCCGTGCTCGCCTCGTTCCAAGATCACAGTGTGGATGCTGGGTAATGCGCATGGACTCAGGGGCTTCACGAAATGCCAACCAAGGTGTGCTTTTGCGAAGCTATGATGGCGCCACCAGGCTCCGATCGGACGTACGTGACGTTTTGAGACCTCCCAAGTAGAACCCTTCTCTCCACAGCCTTGTTGCGTTACATTTTACGCACTCAATCATCGCTACTCTGAGAGTTTGTAACGGTCAATCCTCCGCTTCGCCTGCCCCTCCATCCCTCCTTTGCTCTGGTCCTCGTTGCGCATTATGTTCCAGTTTTGCCGGTGCTCGCGGATGCCGATTTTGCATTCTGTCTGGGTCCATGTTGGCGGACGGTGACGATTCCGGGAGCATAGGTGGAATTGCCACAGAGCAGATAGGGGAGTGAAAGAGAGACAGAGAGAGGTTTGGTACTGAATATAGCTTGTGGCGTGTGATCGGTCCTGAAAATTGCACTAGCGTTCAGTTCTTTTGAGTAGTCTTGGTGGTTGGGGTGTTTGTGTTGTGGGGCTCAGTGGCGCGGCTTTGGTTTTTGGAGTTTCTTTGGGATTGGAGACTAGAGAATTACATGAGATTTTCGAAGGTTTTGTAGCTGCGGAAGGCTGGTTGTAGCCATCTAGGAATTGGGAGAGTGCGTTTCGAGAGGTCGATCATGTGTTCAGCACAAATCCTTCAGTTGAAAGGAATTGATTACGAGTGATGGTTTTGGGGCAGGAGTGGTGGGAATTTTTTTTCGCTGATTTGAGGACGTGATTTCGTGTTAGGAGGATGGGGAAGCTTTGGTCACATTCGGGAGATGCTGTGCTGCCGTTCGTCTGCACGGCGTGCCTGGCGTCTCTTCTATTTGGTTATCACCTTGGGTAAGCTTACTACCGCTTGTGCACCTCAAGCCCTTGTTTGTATGGATTTTGGATGACATCTTGAATTTTTGGTTAACGCAATGAACGGAGAGGTGCAGGGTGATCAATGGCGCCTTGGATCACATTGCTGCTGGGCTCGGCTTTGCCGATGATGCTATTCTTCAAGGTTTGAATTAGAGCTGTGGGCCTTCTTTACAATTACAGCTGCACTGCATTGTAGAGAATGTGAAATTTCCATTGCTGCGGTAGAGTTCATTACCTGGATTCTTGAGTGAACATTCAGGGAATGGCTCGTGGAAGAACGAAGTACTTATACTTTTTAAAACTTTTTCCCCCGTAATCTTTGTACTTTGTGTGGATTTTGTAATGTGGCAGGATGGGTGGTTAGTTCTACGTTAGCTGGAGCTGCAGCAGGGTCGTTGACAGGCGGTGCCCTGGCTGACAGAATAGGCCGTCGCCGGACCTTCCAGCTCAATGCATTGCCTCTCTTTCTAGGTCCTCTCTTGAGGTAAGCCTTTTCCTGGTTTATATACCTCACAAGCTGATTGTTAGGCTTGAGATCGTACTGTTATACTCAATGGGACAGATGGTATAATCCCAATTTGTTTCTATGTTGAAGGGCTCTCAAGGAGAATTTTTATTTTACTTACAAGGGAATGACTATTTTGTTGGGAGCAGTTCTAATTCAGGCGGCTTTGAAAGCATGGTTCTTGGGCGGATCTTGGCAGGGATTGGAATTGGCATTGCTTCCTCTGTTGTTCCGCTCTATATATCTGAGGTAATCATTTTCTCAGTTCTTTATCGCCATTCTCCTCACCTGCATTTCCGGATTCGAAATCTGAATATGAAGAGGTATTTAGTAATGTTTTGGATGCCCTTACCAGATTGCACCTACTGAAGACCGCGGTTCTCTAGGATCATTGAACCAGATCGGCATCAATATTGGCATCCTGCTTGCTCTCGTAGCAGGGCTTCCACTTGCGCACTCTCCAAATTGGTAATATCTAATGTCTCGACGAACCTGATGCAATTTTATGAACTTCAACTTCATTCAGTCTGACTGCCACATATCCAGTGTTGAGATAAGATCTTATTGGCTGTAGAGGTTATTTCTTAGTTCAAATTGTTTCTAACGCTGTAACCGTGGATCGTAGCCGCAGGCACGGCAAGTTGCCTGAGTAATTCTGAAGTGGATCCTTTTCATATTTCTGTGTTCGATTTTATCAGGTGGCGGGCCATGTTTTTACTCTCCACGTTACCTGCGATCCTCCTCTTATTGGGCATGTTTAAGTGCCCCGAAAGTCCACGTTGGCTTGTCAAGGTCACTGCTGTACCCGCAATCTTACTCCAGTTTTATGAATCATTGATCTGGTCCAGCTGTTCACCTGCCTCGTATTGCAAATTGGCTGGTATCTATTATTTATAGAAAGTTTAGCAAAGGACTTGAGGAAGACATATGGGGTTCTTAGGCTTCATGTTGATCATTTTCTAAACTTCTAGCCTTTGAATGTTATTCAGCAAGGGAGGTATGCTGAAGCAGAAGCTGTATCAAGGCTATTGTGGGGGAAAACAAATAAGTTTGAGGAGGAAATAGGGAATCTCAAGACTGACGGTTCTGAAACTTTCGATGAAGATGCCATCTGGGGGGAGCTTCTAAGCAAGCGTTATTGGAAGGGTATTGTTTGATCCTTTGTTTTGATCAGTAATTTACCATGATCTGGATTTGATTACCTTGCCGTACTTGGAAACAACTGTGCAAGTTGGCACGCTTATTTATTGATTCTATTGTGCCTTCTCAAGTGGCAAGATTGTGATATGAAAGCAACGAGCTGTCTGTTCTTAACTGTGTGCTGTATCCTATTGCAGTTGTAAGTACAGGAGCAAGCTTATTCTTAATTCAACAACTTTCTGGTATCAATACGGTTGTCTTCTTCTCAACAGCTGTCTTTCGCGGAGCAGGCATCAAATCCGACGTCGCAGCCAGTGCCCTTGTGGGGTTGGCTAATGTCATGGGTGTTTGTCGAACCTCTGTGCTTAAATTTTTTGCAGAAAATCCTCCTCAAAACGTGTAGTTACTCCAGGAACATGTCGAAATAAGTTGACCCCATTTTACAAAAGTAACACCGTGGTTGATTCCATTTCGTTTAAATTCCTGTGCAGGTTCAATGGTAGCATCATCTCAAATGGACAAGCAAGGACGCAAGTACTTGCTCATGTCTAGCTTCACAGGCATGGTATGTATTAGAAGATAACGTCCTCTTAGCATGAATGTCTCTGCTTCACAAGCCAAATGAATTCCAAACAATCTGCTATTTAAAGATAGAATATTGGAACAAATTTCATGTCCAGTAGTGAGGATGCATAGGTAAACGAATTTCAAACTTCAAAAAGTCGTTTTATGATGGAGGTCCTTGGTTTCCCAGGGTGCTTCAATGGTGCTACTGGCGTTAAGTCTAGCATGGCGTTCGCTACAAACCTTTTCAGCCATTCTGGCAGTCCTTGCGACTGTCGCGTAAGTCGATCTTCCTCTCAGGTTTCATTTGGCTGTCTACAATTTTCATGTGTTTACTTTACTTCAGATGAGGAGACTTTGGAGCTGAAAATAGAGGTAGGAACGTGGGACCTTTTTACTTGTGCAGGTACATGCTGGCCTTCTCGTACGGTGCCGGACCAGTCCCAGCCTTGCTGCTTGCTGAAATGTTCGCGTCACGAATTCGTGCGAAGGCTATGGCTTTCTCATTAGGAGTACATTGGGTATGCTATTTTTAAAAATAAATCGATTATCCTCTAATCCTCTGTTTGAATTTCTTCGAAAACGCCAGGCTTGACTAGAACCAAAAGCTTTGTTTTGTTTACACATGACAGCGTATTCATTCTCGAAACCCATGTGTTTGCAGGTCTGCAACTTCGTGGTAGGGTTGCTGTTTCTGAGTGTAGTTGAGAAAGTTGGAGTGAGCGTGGTATATCTCGCCTTTGGGGCAGTCTGCTTTTGTGGCACCTTCTATGTTTCCAAGAACCTGGTAGAGACGAAAGGTCGGTCACTAGAGGAAATCGAGCGGGAGCTCAGCCCTGCTGTTTACAATGACGCACCGGGTTTTGCTATTTTATGAGTTGTATCACCTGTATTCAAGCATATAATTTGCCCACGATGGTAGTTGGGCATTTGTACTCGACCTCTCTTGTTCGAATGTGAATGCTTCGGTGTTTGGTTGCGCTGTTATGACCTATTCTGATGTAAAAAAATAAATTAAGATGAAAGTTAATGTTGCAATTCTATTTGCTGTATGTTTGTGGGCTTTCATTAACTGCAAGCAATTGCTGAAATATTCTGAAATATGCAGAACAAATCTTTATTCAACAAAGTCATAGATATTCTTTGACTGATAAGTGGTTAAAGATCATAAGTCAACTTGAAAAACATTGCTGTTAGCTATTTAGAACAAAAAAAACAATTTCTGATTCTTCAATAAGTTTGTTAAAAATGCTAAGTACCACATGCATATTCTTTTGAAAAATAAACAAAAATTAAGAAATCCGTATGATTTGAATGCTACCTTGAAATTTAACTTGGAAAGTTCATTTCTATGAATTTGTATGCTCCTTGCTGGCCTCTCCAGAAGCCTAAGCACATGTACATCAATTTCCATGTTTGTGCACATAAGAATTCAAATAAGTGACAATTTTTACACATTTCTAGACTTCATCAATTTACCAATTACCAACATCTTCCAAAAGAGTACAGTATCCTCAACCTCCAGTGACCCAACCATCTGTTGTTCTGCCACGCTCTAAAATCAAGTCCAAAGATTCATGACCACGTCTCTGCAACAACCATGCTGTACACTGCTACAACTGATAAACACCTACCCAATCAGTGAGCGGTCTTGAAGAGCCCGACTAGTTCCAGACTGAGAAAAACCGAGCAAATCAAGAAAGGCATCCGTGTTACCAATAAACAACGCCCAACTGGAATATGCAACCCAAGTGAGAATTGCTTGTAGAGAGCCACAACAATTTCCGCATTCAAATTTTTTCACATCGATTTATCTTTATGGATGGAAATTTTCAAGGGAGGAGAAAAAGGAATGTCTGAGACAGAGAGGACCTAAGGCTGGAAACAAAGAATGTAATGCTCAACTCTCTCCACATCCTCGTGCATGCTTCACCACCACTACAAGGCGCTTGGGTCGGAGAAAGCTCGTATCTCAGGTAGGCCTGGGTTCGTCAGCTTTTGCGCCCAGAGTCATACCACCAAGAGAGCTTTGATCCAAGACTTCAATCACCTTCTCAAAGTTTGCATCGTCTTTCACCACTATCCATGCTAGCTGCCTGTTATTTCCTGGCTTCAATGCCGTGCGAACTGTTTGCACTTCACCTCCCAACTGCTCAACGTGGGCTTGCAACTCCTGTTTCGTGGTTGAGGGGGCAATATTCCACACGAAGATGGTTTGTTTGGAAGCTGGTGTGGCTCTATTTCGAAACTTCCCCTTCGCTTGTTGAGACTTCTTGCCTCGGACGGCTAATGGGGGAGGCTTTTCGTCGGGACCACATGGAAGAGCTTCGCCCGTCTCCTTCTCTATTCTCTTTTTCAAGTCTCGTAAAATTCGGATTTGTTCAAGCTTTTGCCGAGATAGCTTCTCCCAGTAAATGCCTGAGATTAAAACAGAATGGCCAAAAAACTGAGAAATGACACTGATTGCTGACAATTAGCACGTGATCTAATGAACACTTACAAATTACTCGACGTGGAGATGATCAAACTGGAAGTGAGATCTTGCCTTGAGGTTTGGGAATCCTGGTATTTGTATGAATGATTTTTGTTGGTGTGCAAATAATATCAACTGGAACGTCATGAACCAGGAGTTTCTCCACAGGAATGTCGTCCACAAGTTGTCGGTCGTGCACTGCGTCAATCGATGCATGCTAACATTCACATACAGGCAAAGGTAGCGCAAACATATTGACCTTTGAGTACTGTGCATCAGAGCTCTACTAAGCTTTCCAGCGCTGTCAAATCTACAAAGGAACCAGACGTAGCACTAGAATGATACTGATGCGCGACGGTACCTGTAGTCACTACCAAAGTTGAATCATCGATAGCACCCATCCATCGCAATATTCCATACTCTAGCTCCGCGAACCCCTGCATAAATGCCCATTACTCTTTAATGAGTTGATTACATGGATAACGTTCTTGACCGAAACTAATTACAAGGAACTGCGCAAAATGAAAAGTAGAACGTCGATGAGATCACTATACGAATAAATCAGCTCGGAATCACATGTTATGCAATTACCTCTCCTTTCCCTAGTCGTGCACCTGTCGAAGGATCCACAGCAACAGAGCCAATAACAATTAGGTCTACTTTCAACTTGTCGTCGAGGCGTACAGGCTTCCCAAACTTGACAACGCCCGCGCTTGTACACGCGTCAGGTATGTATGGAATAGTCGACGCTTGTAGGATAGAAAAGAATCCGGTCCGAAGTCGGGGTTGTGGCGTCATCAGCAACTTGTTAGCTGCTCAACATGAACCATCTGATATTGTATTCAGCGTTCATAAATATATGCTTGATCCACAGCTGCTAAATAAACAAACCTATGAACAGACTGCGAGTAACATAAAATAAGGTGAAGTTGATTTCCTCATAAATATGCATTTAATGCTAAAAAAAATAAAAACTACAATCTCAGATTGATTGTGAACATCATTGTAATATTGCAGGATTTTGACAGCAGTGACGTATTGTAGAGACATACTATTAAGAGTGAGGAGGCGAACTTGCTTCTGAGGTGTGTCCGGGTTCACCTTCACACACTGAGCGGTTTGAAATGCAGGAAGGCTGGCGAGCTGCTCGATTCAGCACCAAAAACTCCACAAGCTTAGAGAGAAAGTGAGAAGCATATATCGAGCTACATCCTATGCAGAATTATATGAAGATTGTTGACTAAAATGAGGACACATAACAATAAACAACCATCACCAGATAATTTAGGTCAAAGCTTCATGAAAGAACGACTATAACTGCCAAATTCACCCGAAAATTGACAACTGCAGTCACGAATTCTTCTCACCTTCGCAGCAGCTGCACCCGCTCCAATAAAATTAGGAATACGATGATGCACGGGGCGAGGCAACTGGGCTAAATTCTCAGACTCCAGCAAATCCCAAACTCGCTTCCTAATAGCCCACTTCCAAGCACCAGGGTGCTCACCCTCACTACTCTCCCCCAGCTCCAGTTCAGATACTGCAGCCATGGTGTTCCTAGCATCGGCATCCAGCTTCAACCTCTGCTCCTCACTCTCCAGAACTACCTCGTCTCCGCTCGCCGTGTGCACACGCGGTGATTTCACGTCGTTCCTCGTCTGGGCACGCATAGACACTCGCGCAAAGGGGTTGGGAATGCGAGTAGCGAAAACCAGAGAAGGAGGCAGTTTGAATGAAGCTTGCAATGGTGATAATCCGGTGAGTGTCACCATAGCCATCGTCTAACTTCTTCGAGAATTCCTGTCAGATCATATTCCAAACCGCAAGTTAAGGTCTCATCTGTCGCCTGGCGGAACGGGGGCCTCTCGCCACTAAGCTCATCAAAATCCTAGACACGTCCACGGGCCGTGGGTGTCCTCGGGTCTCGGCGAGCCCCCGCGGGCTTGCCACGATGGACGACCAGCGGACGGGCAACGTGGACCTATTACCGTCCAGCGCCCCTCATCTTCTCCCAAGCCTCGCTTCCTTGTGCACCTCATTGTCTTCGTTATATCATTCCCGACTATATGGTTCTAGGTACTTGAAGTTACCACTGTTGTAACAGAGTTGAAATCTGCTTTATGTTTGTTATTTTAATTCATTTTATTTGCTGATTAAATCAATATTCATATTGTGGTATTGGATAGTTTATTATTGGTTTATTTTTTGGCCATGGTTCTTGTTTGAATATTAGAACATTTTTATGTTTTCATGTAATATCTGACAACAAGTTTAAACTATTTAAGACCACAAGATCCTTGTGTCTTCAAGGTTATTGAGAATAATTCCAAATAATTTTGATATGACATTAGAATTGACTTTGAGGCGGTCTGTGACTTAAGTATTGTGTGCTTAAATAATTTAAGATAATTGTAAACTATTCTCAAATGATTTAGGCAATCCTACACCCTCAATTAGACTAATTCAAAGATAGGAGGAGAACAAGAGAGGCATAAGTCATTTATTGTTTTATTTACTTTTTACTTCCAAGCATTCATTGTAATTCTTTTGTGTTATATTGATAGAATGAAGGCAGGTTAATTTTTGAATTTATTTCAAAGGTACATTTAGTTAAATTAAAAGTTTGTTAGTAACACCTTGAGCCATTTTATGATTTACATAGAGGTTGGAGGAATACAATTTTGTAAAATACTTCTACTATTTTTTGCATTATATTGTTCTAAAGTGAAAAATTCATCCTAAGTGAAATTATTTAGATTGAACTTCAATTTATTTACAATTCTTAACTAAGCTAAGGATTTGTGCTAATGTATTTGTGATCCTTGTGAGGCAATGACCTTGCATTTCCATATGAAAGAGAGGCCTAATATGGTTGGATTTAAATATCTTTCTAGATTATTAAATATAATTAGCAAGAGATCTTTTCTTAAGATATAAATATCTTTGTTAGTTGTACAGGTAGATTTTTTAATGTCACAATCTCTTTCTTCTTCTTTTTTTTTTTTTTTTTTTTTTTTTTTTCCTCTTTGGCTTGAAGTAATTGAAAAATAAATAAAGGAGAATCTAAATTATTCTTAATAATTTTTTTAATTTAATATTTGTTTAAAACATCTTTTAGATTGTAAAGAAATATTTTGCCTATTATTAAAGAACTTGTATAAATATGAAATTCTATAAGTAGTAATCAAATGAAAAAAGAAGGTACTTGATTTTTTCTTCTTTATAAGGTAGCGATTTAGTAGCTTACTTCAACCATAGATCTTGGTTTGATGAAAATTAATATTGTGGATTTTAATTGCCTTGTCTTAAATGATTGCAATTCAAATTAAATGTAGGTCTTTTATATTCTAAAGGTAATGTAAGTGAGTCTTAGAACAAAAAAATCTTATTATCAAAGCACGAAAATTTTAAATAGTAACTAAAAAATTAATTCTAGATTCAAAAGTAAAAATAGAAATTTTAAATTTTAAAATCAAAAACAAATGTATATAAAACTAAAAACATCTTTTGCAATGTAACATTTGCTACTTAGTGTAAGATTCTTTTATAATATATAAATACTAAAATAAAATAGAAATGAAAATATAAATAAATAAATAAATATTAAAATAAAACCATCAAAAGAAAAAGGTTGCAAAAAGATTAAAATTAACAATATAGGTGGTAGGTTTTAATAGTTATAAGAAAATAAATATTATTAAATTTGAGTTAGATGTGTAATTTTTATCAACAAAGACAAGAAGATGAAAAGCAAGACAAGAAGATGAAAAGCAAGACAAGAATATAAGAGTACAAGAAATAAATAGAAGAATTAAAAATAATAAAAATAAATTGATATGCCAACTTGCTTGCATTATTATTTTAAAAAGTATTTGAATAATATCTTTTTAAAATAAAATAAGAATTAAATTTAGATGAAATATATAATAAAAATAAATATAATATCTATATATAAATATAGTATATAAATATAAAATCTTTAAAATTTATCTTTTATAAAAAAAAAAATTAAAGAAATAAGATTTGTCAAAAAAATACTTAAATCTTTTTTGATTGTAGGCAAAGATAGTTTGGTAAAATAATCATATATTTAAATATAAATATATAATTTATAAAACACTTGTAATTAAATAATTAAATAATTTATTTTTAATTTGATTATTAAAGCATTCAATTTAAACTCAATACATAAAATATAATATGCTAATAATCTTTTATAAGTATATGCATATATCAAGTACATAGAAATCTTATCACACATAATATAGAAATAAAATTAATAATTTTGAGAAATTTACATCATTTTATTATGTTATAATTATAAAATTTAATGATTTAATCAATAAAAGATGAAGTACTAAACCAAATAATTTCATTCAAATTACAATTAATTCAAGTATATTAATTAAAATTATTATTTCAAGTAGAAAGAATTTTAATAAATATCAAATTACTTATTTATAATTTTTTTTTATCAAAATTTGCATTTTATGTACTTTAAGATTTTAATAGCATAAGATATAAGCTTTTAAAAGGTAAAAAATTTACTACTATTATTATATTAAAAATACATGTAAAAATTATAAGTAATTTTTTCTATTTAACCGAAAAATTAAGATTAAAAATTATATGTATATATATGTATATATATATATATATATATATAAAATCTATATTTTATGATTTTATTTTATTTTGAGAAACTCCAGTACCATTAAAGAGAAGAAACAAAATTTTCTTTATCATGGTTATATATTAATGCTTGCATATAACAATGCAACATATTATCAATATACAAGAATTGATGGTTTGGAAAGTCTGGTCAATTATAGTATTTATTAATAATGGTCTTCATGATTTAGATATAAATAATTATGGCATGAAAGAATTTAAGGTTTTGTAGATCTATTTTAATTAGGATTGTATTAAAAAAATAAGATGTTTATAAATAGAAATTTGATTTTACAATTCACTTTTAATTTTTTTTGTTATTAATTAGGTATTTGTTTTGAAAAAAAAGATAGAAAAAATATATTATTTTAATTAAGCATTTTTGTTAAAACACAAGTACTAATATTATTATTTTGACTTGTAACCTAAGATAGATTGCACAATATAAGAAGTTGTTTTGAGATTGTCAAAATTATAAGATTAGAAATTTTTAGAAAATTTTACAAAATTATATAATTAAAATTTTAATTTTTTTTCAATTTCCTAATAAAATAAAATTAAAAGTTTTAGAAAGAGATTTTGAAGCTTTCCACCACAAACCTTATATTAGACAAAGTATAGATAATTCACATATTCCCATATTTGCTTTATTATTTTGTGGTGAAAGTTATTATAATCAGAAATCATTTTATTTAACTTTGTTACAAGGCATTGTAGATGTAAATTGAGCTTTTTAGTAATTCTAAATTTGTATAGGCAAGTAGTTTTTATAATTAGACATTGTTTCAAAAAAGATAATTGAAAAGAACTTGTGTAGAAGATTTTTTTTAATCAATCACATTAATTAAATATGTGGTGTATTTGGTGAGATCATGGATATACAATCTATTTAAAGAATCACTCTATTTATAGAATCAAGTGAAGAATTACTAGTATACAAAGCAAATTATAATTTCATTCAATCGTTTACTTGTTTGTATATAAAAAGATTATTTTGGAATTTTGATAGGTAAATAGACAATCATTTTAAAATAGATAGATATACATTTGAAAACATTACCAAACATTCTAAGTACATATATTATATTACATAATATAAGGATTAGAAGTGGAAACGATTTTAACAGAAATCAATTTTATGAAACCAAGAAAGAGTTCCAAAAAAAAAAAAAAAAAAAAAAAAGGTTAGATAGTAGTGAATTAAATAGAAGGCAAGAATTCCGGGAGATTGAGCATTAATTGCTGAAATTAGAAATAGAATTCAAAATGAATATTTTAAGAGAGTTTTAAAGATTTAGGAGGAGTTAATAAAACAAAAATAAAAGTAAAGAACACATACTGCAAGAAGTTACAAATAGTATGGCTAAATCTTTGAATAACTGTAAAATTATGTTAGAATCTAAAGTTAAATTTTAAGATTTTAGTGATTTAATAATTACATGTAAATTACATGTAAATTACTATAGATTTTCTAATATTCTTGCTATATAGAAATTTATATTTTCCAACAATACAATATTTTTTTGATTGGTTGTTAATAAACTTAAAATTTCTTTATTTGTTCTAAAAGAAAAGGCATTAAAAAATAATAAACATCTTAAAAAAAAATCTCTAAGTTATAAAAGCTATAAAATCTAAGTTATAAAATCTAAGAATTTATAGATTTTACAATTAAAGTCATGAATGATAAATAAATCCTAATTTTTAAAAATATTAGTTATTTTTAATAATAACAAAAATGGTCGTTTTTAATATTTTATTAGGTCATAACAAGGTAAAAAACAACGTTATATAGAGCTTGCACAATTACAAAAACACATCAGTCACCAAAACAATATGTCCATATAACAGGTATTAAAACTGTTTCACCTCTACTGCACGCTTGAACACTAAAGGATTCGGCTGTTTTGGATCACAATCGGTAGGCTGACAACCTGCAACAAAACAATTCACAGTTGAGTGAGTTTTGCAGAACCAAGCCACACATTTGCAGCAACCAACACTACAAGGGGCTCACAATCCAAAGGTTATGATCTCCTTCGTCTTCCGTAGTAAATAAGGAACACTTTCCAGTAAGTTGTGAGGTAAAACTAGTGCAGTATGCAATGTGAATTGGAAGTTCTGAAACTAGGCATGAAACGCGCGGATGATGTGGAGACCTTTTCAAAGTGTTGGGTGATCCCACACCAGTAGCGCCAGTGATCATTCCCACCATGTCCTTCAAGCAGGCCATCTGTCAAAGACCTACCAAAAACCATCAGAAACCTGGAACTTTGTGAAGCACGAGTGAAACCTTGATGGCTATTAATAGTAAGAGGCGACGAAGCCAATCGATCGCGAGCATCATATTAAGTCCTCGGTGCTAACGTGTCCAAAACTGCCTTCGGCACGTTTTTGTGCGACAGCTGCAAGCCATGGAGGTGGCAGAGAAACCGATGACCTCGGAGACTCCAGGTTTGGCTGGTTCGAGGTCTACCATGGTTTATAACTCTCAGAACGATCATGACAGACATCAGTGTTCTAATTCGGATTTGTATATTCCATAGCGAACTTGTTGAGGTTCGGCCCACCAGCTTCTTCAAGGAGTTCGACTGTTGACTCTAGGTTTTCGCAAAGATGCCGAGCGCTGGTTTGGGAAGGGGGTTGGCAACGCCTCTGCTGGTCATTAACTTCTGCCTGTACCTGATCGCGGCCTGCTTAGCAGGATGGGCGTTGAACAGGAACTTTGATGCAGGGATTGGCCAAGGTGAAGGCGCTGTAGGTATGCTCACTGAACCACTTGACCGATTCATGGGTGTCAATGAGGAGTGTTGTTAAGCGTGAGGTAGAGGATGCTGGACGGAGTGGAAAGACAGTCGAACTGACTGACTGACTGACGGCGTTGCAATTTCCTTGCAGGCAACAATGTGACACAGGGCTTTTTCTTGCCGGTTACACTGATTGCCTGCATGGTGGGACTCGCATCATGCTTGGCTGGAATCCACCACATGCGTCTGTTCAGGAGTGAATCTTTGGCCGCAGCTGCTGCTACCTCGTTGATCGCATGGCTCCTAGTTTTGCTCGCAATGGGGTACATTTCCACAATTTTTTTTTTTTTTTTTTTTTTTTTTTTTCTTTTATCTTTGTTTTTTGTTTTTTGTGCAGAGTTGGGCGCTGCTCAGCTAAATACTAGACAGTACCAGTTTTCATCTCAGTTTCTCGTTTGAACTAAACTACGTAGAATTCGGCTTCTATCAGGTCGTTATGGTCCATTCATCATTTGCATGTTTGATGGTTGCAGATTAGCATGCAAGCAGATTCATACTGGTGGCAACCGTCCCAACAGACTGGTAAGAGCAATTAACTACCTTCAAAACTGTCATTATCTAGAATATATACTTGCATGTTTTTTGAATAATAGCATTTACAGTAACATGGCTCACCTCTTTATGCAACTACTTTCGAATGTCGCAGAAAGTTGTGGAGGCCTTTATCATCATCTTGGCTTTGTTCGAGCTGTTGTACCTGCTCTCTCTCCATTTGGGATTCGGAAGGGCTGGCCACAACCACGGAACTGGAGCTGGAACCGGAGCTGGAATCGGAATGGCTGGCCATGCTCATAACCACCACACCGATTACGGCCACCACACCGACATGAAGATCCCTGTTGGCCATGTGCAAAACCCAGCTCACCCTGGCTACTGAGCACCACTTCATCTTTCCTGTTTGTTTGCAGTTGTTTCAGATTCTTCTATGTATTCCTATGTAGTTCTGGGTGACGGCTTTTATGAGGACAGTCTTTGCTCCACTGAACTGTAAGATATCTTTGTAGATAAAAAGAAAATCTTCTAGCTCAGATTGTTTTTGTTCTCGTGGACAAATCTGAACTTTACCAATACATCAACTTGGGCTCTTCGAATGTGCATTGTTTCATTGTTTTCATCTGGTGCAAATCATACATTGATATTTAATGTTCTACATGATTAGCCCCTCCTAGAGATTGTTGTTCTGATTCTGATCATGTTTGATCATTTCAGCAACTTGATGATGTGCCTATGTAAACCGGTTACAACACAGTTGCAAAAGTTATTTCAATGAATTTTCATTCCAATGATACGAAGGTCAGATTACAGTTGCCAATGCTGAATCAAGATTATTCCATAACTTGATGGAAGACAACAGAATTACTAATTAATCTATCTTTGACCTATGTATTGCCATTATGATTGTTAGTTTTGTTATATTGTACTTTTGTTTATTTTGTGACCGTTCACAGTAGAAAGATTTCCTCTGAACAGTATACTGATGTTACGCACGTTACATTTTCTGTAATTAAATGCCCCAGTTTTCACATAACACTAATCATCACCAAAAAAACCAAAATGATTGCTTTTACATATTAACACCCTTATATTTACTAAATAATGGTCTAATTCATCATCATTCAATTACCAAAGTCTTCTGAAATAACAATGTCACAAGTAAGGTTTTCTTGACATGTCTCAAACTATATATTCATGATTTTAAAATTCAACTCAGAAAGTTCATCAATTATTTACTTTCACTGTTACAAATTAAACTTCGCCATATGATACTGTTTAGAAAGTGTATCTAATAATAATAATAATAATGAATCTTTTGGTACTTAAAAATAAAATAATATGTATTCAAGCTGAAATAATATGACTGATTCTAATAATTTATTAAAACATTCCATATGATTTTACAATAGAAATAAAATTTTGCATATATATTTTAAATTGACTGAAGACGTAAAGATATGTCTTATCTTTGGAATAATTGGATATTGACAAAATCATTTAATATGATTTATTAAAAATTTGACCTCAAAAATCTTCATAGTTCTTTCTAAAAAGCTTATATCTTCCTGATTTGTATAATACATGTGTAATTACAAACTATAAACACAGAACCAAAAATTCATATGTTCAAACTGAAAGGTTTAAACATTATTAAAAAATTAAGAATAAAAATAAATTGGAAGGGCTATTATTAAATAGATGTATTTTTGAACAAAATATACTATGAATGTAACTTGAAAAAAATTACATGTTGAAATTTACTTCAATTGTAACTAATTTAAAGATGTGATATTTTAGTATTGTGCTTAAGAATCACGTCAAAAAGTGAAGACAAAAATTCTAATATCAGTGGCTTCGACTTTATATAATAACTTCAGTGTATGCCAATAGAAAAATTGATTTCTATTTACCAAGACATAATATTGAACGGATAAGTATAAATAAATATATATATATATATATATAGATAGATATTATATCACCAATCCAAGGATATTATCATTCATTCTTATTATATAAGAATATGACACAAAACTATAAGACATAATCCATATAAGATTCAAGTACAATGTACAAAGAAATTTCAAAATACCATAAGATTAAATATTAAGTTATTTAACAAGATTCATGTTGGAATAAAAAAAAATACTAAAAAATAATTAAAATAGTTTAGAAAGACATCAAAATATGATGGTACCTTAAAAGGATATATTTAGGTCAATGTATTAGGTAGGAATTTAGTATTAAGAAGTAAAGGATAAGGTCCCTTAGTTGAGAGGGCTAAAGCACTTTGCTCATGAATATGCAAATGAGTGTGGAATTCTAGAATAAATAGGTATAAAAGTAGAGATATTATGATCTTACTTATATCACTATTTTTCATGTTCTTTTTTGATTTTTTCTACTACCTTGGTTGTATTTTTAGCTATTATCAAGTCTCTAAGATGTACATAGAGGATTCAGATAGCATTAAAGGATACTGTTTAGAAAGTGTACCTAAATCCACTAGCCTATCCGGTGTCGTGTTGTGGTTCGGCTACTATATGAAAATAATGTAATTATGTACTTAATATATAATTTATTAAGTAATATGGTAAGAGCCATGTTAGTAGATTTTAGTTGGTTGTAGGATATAATTTGATTATTACTTTGAGAAGAGGTTGTTTAAAAAGGTTACTATAGAATTTTTATAACTTTGATTTCTTTTTCATAGTGGCTTTTAAGATTGGTTTAGTTCATAGTGACTTCTAAATAATTAGAATCACCTTTGTTAGACATTGGTGACCTTTGAAAACTTCTTTTGGATTTTTTATTTGGTGTCAAAAAGACTCATTGTAAAAATCTTATAAGAAAAGGGATGAAGAAGGGGGTTTTGGTAGCAAAAGGATTAATTAGGGCACCAATATGGATGAATGGAGATGAAAAATAAAAATCTCCATTCCTATTGGTTAAAAATCATGACCAATGGGCTTTGAGGAGGCTGCCCGAGGCCATATTAGGGATTAGGGTTAGTTTCTCGAGGCCATTCGAGTTTTTGAGGCTAGGGTCAGAAGGTTTAGGTTTTTGGATATGGTTTTGGTGCAAAATTTGTGTCATTTGGGGTTTATATGAAGAAGTTATAGGCGCTCAAAGTTAAGGTGTAAGTTTTCGACGTACTGTCACTCTTTTGAGCATACCGCACGCGTACGGACAGCAAACGAGGATCGGCGACCGGATTTGAAGAGAACACTTTTTCGGCTACAGTTTGTGCATACTGTTTATCGAATTCCAAGCTTTTATGAAGGAGATATTGGCAGTTGAAGTCAGCACTTGATATCTAAGGGTAGTAAGTAGCCCGAATTACTTGTGCTTGTGATTTGAGCTATATCTTAGACAATTTGATGAGGTTTTAGCTCAAAATTTTCAAGATTGAGTGTAATCTTGTTATAAAGCTTTCTATACAAGTTTTGTGTGATTTGGAGCTTGGGTTTAAGAGATATAAGGAAAATAGTTTTCGGGTGCTTGTACGTTAGGGTTTTGTGCACCTCCTAGGGTTTCTTAGATGCCGAACGATCGGTGATAGATGTACGGTTCAATTTTTTTGTGGTAAAATTTAAGTATAGCATCTAGCTTATGTAGAAATTTGAATCAAAGTGAACGGTTTGATTAGCTTTTATGAATTTTCAACGTCTGATGTAAAAAGGTCCTTGGCGGGAAGAAATATATTTTGAAGAATTTTAAGATATTTTGAATTTTTATACAAAGCAAGGAGTTTGTTTTTGGGAGCTAAGGCATTATATAAAAAAGAAACCTAAACTCTCTACAGCTAGATACCCGGTGTATTCCCAGATAGAAAATCACGCCATACGACACCGGATACTTACAAAACATTATTTTATCTTCCACAGCCAGACGCCTGATGCGTTCTCAAGCAAGATAGCACGTAATACGACAATATCCCACAAGTACATGCTCAATAACAAAAGAAAGTCATGCTGCCATTAGCCAGACTTTGCTTTCTACAAAACATCTAGAAATTAAAAGTACCTATCACAAACACAACCAGGTTCTCTTAACAAAAGAGATAGATTGGAGAATTTTTTGGTGCTTGTAATTGAATATTTTAATATTTAATTATACTATAAGGTAATAGAATAATTAAGGTATTACCTTTAAGACAGCAAGTCCGACCATGCTCTTTCCTAAGTATACCTAAACTTGAAATGAAAATAAAGAGCTAAGGTTTGAAACCTACCTAATTTTGCCAAGTGGTGCTTCTTTCTTGTATGTCTAAAATTTCAAATAAAATTGAAGAGCTCAAGTTTGAAACCTACCTAATTTCACCAAATCATGCTCTTTTTCTTCAACCTTCAATTTGTGTTAGTAAAATAAAATTGAAACTAAATGATTCTTTGTTAAAAAATACACTCATGTTAGATTATGATTTGAACTTATTGCTCTTCCTTTTTCTTCTTTTTTTTATTTTTTCTTACTTATTCTAAATTCCTTCTATCTAATTCTTCTACCTATTTCTTCTTCTTGAATCTCTTTTTTTTTCGTTGATGAAGAATTTTCTTTAATTCTTCCTAAGCTCCTTCTACACTAATCTTGAGAATAGAAAGGATATGAGAGGTGGAAGGAGTGTTTAAATCCTCCTACCACCAGAAAAAGGCCCTCCACTGTTAATTTACAATGATGCAAAGAGATGGTACAAGGGGTGGAAGGAGTGATTAAATCCCCCTATGACTAAAGAAAGGCCCTCAATAAGAAAATTTACAAAGAAGGGGAGTGATGAAACCTTGAAGACAAGCTCCAACCTTGATGCTTTGGAAGAGACAACCAACCTAAAAAAAACCACCAAATAATACTAACACTAACACCAAACTAATCTAATATAACTTAAGGTTAGAAATAACAATGTTGCATAAAAAATATTTTAATGAATAACTAAAAATATATTAGACTTAAGTCAATACATAAAACTTATAATGCATCTAATAAAAAAAATAATATCGATAAATAAAAATAATGGTAAAAATTGAACAACAAAAATAAAGATAAAGGGCAAGTAAATTAATTAATTAATTAATTAAGTAAAAAATAAAAAATAAAAAATAAAATCAAATAAGGTAAAATAAAATAAAAGCAAAAATAAGAGTGAAAATAAAATCTAAATGTAAAAATAAATTATAAATTTATTTCATAAAATAAATAATTTATTATTTTAATTATAATATTATTATTTATTACTAATATTTTATTATAATTTATTTTATTTTTAATTTTATTATTTATTTATTTATTTATATTTATTATCTATTTTTCTTTATTATTATTATTATAATGATTTAATATAGTTGAGAGATTTTAAAATACAAAATTTAAAATCATAACAAAAAATCAACAATGTAAATGATTGAAAAGATAGAAATCACTAACCTCAATTGTATTTGCTCAAGGCAGCAACCTCTCTCCACTCCAAAAATCGCCACAAATTCAATATTGATTCAAAAGCATTGAATTTTATACCACTACAAACTCAACTTTGAGATGCTTGTACTCAGAAATTTTCATTGTAAAATACTTATCCGGCACTTAGAAATGCCTTGTCAAAGATAGGGTACACAAAATTGTCAAG